CAGACTTGAACCACAATGATACAAAGGCTGTGGAAATTTTCAGATGACTTGTTCCTTATGAATTTAACTCTTAGTCCAACTTTTCGTCTACTTAACTGAAGCAGCTTAAGTATCAAGCTATCCGACCAAATAGGCTTGATTAGAAGCGAATCAAATTTTATTTGCTAATACGACTAGCAAAAATGACAAAGAATCCTTGACCCACAGGCTTTTACCGTACTTGTTAAAGGAATTTGTCATTGAAAATTGTATATTTTATGTAATAGGTAAACTTATCTAACTCTTGGATTAATTTCTGTAAGACATACATCATTCTCAAAATCGTTAATTCAGTTTTATCATGATTAAGCCTGGATATATGAAGTGACGCGTGCGTATATCATGTGCTCAGTGAAATTATGCTTGCAAAAACATTGTGACGACAACAGGATTTGAATACCTCATCACTGCTTCTTCTGCCTTACCATGCCGCTGTCCAAAACAAAGCCTGCTTTTGAGCGGTTCCATCACGTGAATAGAGACCCAATCCGCAATTAGGGGAGAGGTTTAAAGGTTTTGTCTCAAAGCTTCTTCAGCCGTATACATTCCTCTTGCAGTGGCCATGTTGACCAATTCCTTTCCTTGTTAGACAAAAAGCGCTAGAAATGGTCGGGGATTGGTTTCCTTTCAAGTAGTTCTTAGGCATTACTGTCACTTACAAATAAACAGATGCACCCGAAAGAGTTAACGGCGGAAGGGAAAAATCTAAGAAACGCTCGTAGAAAAACATCTCACCGCTTTTCTTCTGCGGCGGCTGCCTAAGCAGAATTAGAGGAGTGTCTGCTTTTGGTCTGAAAAGGGATGTGGGATAGAAAGTGAAAATGCTTGATTTGGGCATGTTCGAATATTGTCGCCTTCCGTGTACCTCCCCTTCTCTCTCCATCTGAAGCCACTGCTTCATCAGAGGTGTTGTGAAGCGCTCACAAGTTCATGCAATCTTTAAAAGTTTTCTTTGATTATCTCCTTCCAAAGAACATTTTGCATAGAACGCAACTGGTAGAAAATTTTGCGAAAATATGAGAATAAATGGTATTTTTAGATTTTTGAGATATTTCGCTGGATATTGAAAATTGGATGTTGCGCAGTTGTTACTTTACTGGGACAAATTTTCTATCAAAATGAAAGCGGCATTTAAAGAAAAAGCAGATTAGAAAAACGATTCTCTTAGTCATAGTACGAAATGTGAATGTTGCGCAGTCACCTTTTCAATGCTACTTAGCGATATACGTCTTGCCAATAATATTTTATGAACAAGAGAAAAGAGTACGGGAGCCAATGTCTTGCGGAAGACCTAAGTTATTAGAAGGTGCGCGAAAGGCGGTCGAGCAATTAGAACCGACGGTGTATTTGGCTTCGGGGGTTGTCTGCTCACGCTTAATAGAAGTACCAACATCTATAAATCATTCGAAATGAATCAGCCGATAACTTCTAAAATTACTTCGCAACTATTTATTCCTATTTTTTTCTTTTTGTCCACCATTCAAGGGCAGTAAATATATAGCAGCCTTCTTGAATAACATAAGCACCTTTGTGTGCCTTATATCGTCGACTGTTACTGAAAGAAATCGTTACAAGCTATCTTTATTAATCTCTACACCCGTCGTTGAATTTATACCCTAAATTTATTCTTGATTTGAAGCGGAACTTCCAACTTTCCCCAAAATGCACTATAATTCATCTCCCTTCAACGACATCTTTCAGTCATTAAATCAAGAGCCAGACTTCTTCTACGCGATGCAGTTACTTGAATCTTCTGGTGTTTGCATTGTACCAGGAA